CCCCGCCACCCGCCACCCCGCCACCCCGCCACCCCGCCACCCCGCCACCCGCCACCCCGCCACCCCGCCACCCCCGCCACCCCGCCACCCCGCCACCCCGCCACCCACCACTCCTTCGGCCCCTCCCGCCTCCCCCTCCCTCCTCCTTCTTCCCCCCTCGCCTGCTTTTTCTGTTTTTCCCTCCCTTCCCCCCTCCAACTTTATTTTTTTCTCCTTTTTAATTCTACTCCCTACTCCCTACTCACCTCACCTCTACACCCCTCACCCCTTCAGCACTACATTCTCGTTAACATATAATACCTCCATAATACCTCCATTTACCTCTAAATACCTCTCTTACCTCTACCTCTCACCTCTCACCTCTCACCCCTCTTACATAGATCCCCTCGCTTCGCTACCTATCTCTCCGACTTTGCACCTCTCCTTTCACTACACCTCGCCCTACGTACTCATCGCACCCCATCGAGGTGCATTCAATATAATTCCGTTGATAAGTCCAGCAATCACTCCTGCAACCGGTAGCGTCACAAACCACCCAAGATAGCACCATAACACCATCTTCCAGTTGCACCCCCGAACGTCCATGTTACACAGACCCACAAAGATCGTTCCACCAACTGCGCACCCCGCTATCCCGTAGAATAGATTTAACAAATGACGTTGAACTTTGGATCTATAGCCGCAATGTGGGACGTCTGAGGAGAGGCAATTTTTTTGGGCCAAAATTTCAACTCTGTAAGCTGGGGTATATCAGTATGGTTGTTCCAGGCCCCAAAAATCAAATTTACAACTTATTCCTCCCCCATGAAGTCGTACTTCCATATAGTTTCTCCAGGAAGGAAGACTCAGTGGGTTCTCACGCTCACCTGCCTCTTTTCGTTCGTTCTATAAGGTTTTGAGCAGGGTGCTTTGGCTAACATCCAGAGCCACCCCGTTTTCCAAGCCCAATTTTGATACCCTTCAAGTAGCTATCTGGGAATCATTGTTGCCATTTACAATCTCGAAGGCTTCTTCGGTTGTTTGGTCAATCTTTTTTTGGCGATAGACTCGGCAGAAAGAAAACCATTTGGTTCGGGTTCACTCCATTTATCATCGGAATCATTCTTCAGACCGGCAGTTACAGTGTCGTTCAGCTTGGTAGCTTTATATCGGGTTTGAGAACAGGTCTTGAAACTAGTACTGTTCCTATTTTCCAAGCAGAGATTTCTCGTCCAGATAAACGTGGTAGCCTGGTTGCTGCCGAGCCTCAGAGCGTGGCATTTGGTATTACTGTTTCTTATTGGATTGGCTACGGCTGCAGCAAACGGTTCGACCAGCCTTCTTGGAGATTTCCTGTTGGTATCCAAACGCACTTCGCTGTGTTTGGATGGTGTTTGTTGTTTCTATGTGCAGAATCTCCTAGTTGGTAGGTTAGAGAGGGCCGGCTGGATAATGCCAGAAACTCGCTTTCTCGCATCAACATGTTTCGACTGACGACCCAATGGTGGTGGATCTCATTGACCAAATTCTGTATCTCCAGGATGTGGAAGGAGAAGGTGATAAGATCAGCTGGGGAATGATTCTTAGTGGAAAGGATGCCATGCACGGCCGGTACAGAATATTTTTGGCCGCGATGGTGCAGTTCTGGAACCAGTTTGGAGGTATTAATATGGTGGTGTATTACGTTCCTCTGGTGTTAGAAACTAACGTTGGTCTGTCAACAAATATGTCTACAATTCTCGGTGGTTGCATCATGGTCTGTTTCTTTGTGTTTGGCTTTATATAAATACTATGGCTGGATCGATTTGGAGAAAGACTGGCCATGATCGGTAGTTCTCTTGGTCAAATGGGATCTGTGCTTTTGATTACGGTGCTGTTGAGCGTCGGTGGAAAGAGCTGTTCCGCGGGTGCAGTGGTTTTCTTCTTCGCCTACATTGCATTTTTTGCGGCAACAATGAACTGTGCTTCGTGGGTTTATGCGGTTGAAATTCTTCCATTGTAACTACGTATGAAAGGAAACGCCATAGGTACTGCTTCCAACTGGGTTTGCAATTTTGTCATTGCCATGATCACTCCAATTGTCATCGAAAAAAAATGCATGGAAAACATACATCATCTTTACGCTTACAAGCGGTGTTGCTGCCATCATGTTCTATTTCTTCTGTCCTAAGACCTGTAACCGGTCGCCGGAAAACATTGAGAACACTTTCTTGTATCAAAACACAATGTTCTACGGAGTTAACGACTTCAACAGAAACCCAATCAGCATGGATGAGAAGGCTGTAGCCCATACTGACCACGCTGAACATGTAGAGAAGTCGAAAAAGTTGATGGAGGATGTTTGAGTACCGCCGTTTGCAATTTAATATATTATTTGAGTTTTGAAAAGAGATTACGGATAGTTAAATGAGCTGTAACGCACCGTCGATAAACTAGAGAAACATTCCCTTAAAATAGCGTTTGTCTAACAGAACGTTCCAGCCGGGACCTGGCGCCTCAGGAGTCCCCCACGCCTTTTTCAAAAATTCCACAATCGTGATGTGACTTTTGGATCGCACGGCATATCCAAAGTTCAAAAGTCTCCAAATCAGATAGTCTCTATGCTCTTTCTCTGTCACCACGGTCCCTATCACGGCTATGGGCCACGTCATGATAAAAGATGTCTGGCTGTGGATGCTCAGTTCTTCAATACTCTTCATCATCTCGCTGATTACGCCGACAATCTCAGGATCATTCTGAGACATCTGTGGATTCAGGAGTTTTGTCAGCAGCAAGTAGGATGCTTTTGCAACCATTCGTGCCGTTGAACAGCTGTCAAGCAATTTTCTCTGAACGTGTTTCGGCTGCGTGAAGCGCACAGAAGGTGGTGGAACTGGAGCCACATAGTACTTTGTCATATTGTGGATTTTGCGTGCCTGTTTCAAGTCTTCTTCTTCAAATGGGTATGTAGCGTGCAACCAGCTGGTTTTGGCAGCAAACTCAAACGCAGGTAATGCAGCCCCCATCACCGGATTGTTCATCCATGGAGCAGGAAAGTTGTACCGCTGCTGGTTGAGGAATGGCCTGAACTCATTGAAAATCTTGAACGGAGATTCCAGAAAATTTAATGTCCTGCGGTCGCACAGCAGCAAAATGATCGAATAGTTGTAAAGGAAACTTTCAAGCAAACACCGCTCAGAATTATCCAACATTTTGTCGCTCAGCGGGATCATTGCAGGAATATCGTCCAGTGCCAGTTCGATCTGTGGGGCTTCTTTTGTATGTAATCCTTGTGACTGGGCTCCTTCCGAAGCAAGCTCTACAATCTGTTTCTGCATAGCCGGCCAGTTTCGAATCACTTCAAGCGCCATCTGTAAGTACCAAGCTGTGCGCACATAGTCATGTCCGTCGTACTTCTCGCGCAAGCACAGTGATAACAGACAAATGAGCAACCATTGGTTGTTGGGACTATTTTTCATTGATTTCACTAGGGCCGGGAACTGTTCCATGCACTTTAAAAACCGTTCTTCGGCTTCATGGTTCATCTCTTCGTGCTCCCAGCGCAGGAACGCGGCTCCACAGGCGTAGAAAATGTTGCGCAGCGTGCTGTTACTGGACCCTGGCGGGATAAAAACCACGGCCGGTTGCAATTCGCGGTGCGTCAACTGCGGCGAAACAGACACCATAAATCCTTTCACAAACGCGTCGTAAAGCATAGCTTCGCGAGCAGTCATGTCCACACCCACCATGTACGTGCTGAATCCATTTAGTCGAGAAGTTGGCCGAAAATCTCTGCACAGAGTCACCAGATACTCGCGAAATAAAGCATCGTCAATCATTTCACGGTCCTTACCGCTCAGCAAGTATTTTCCCAATTCAGAGACAGGTAACACTTGAGTCGTACATGGACCGACAATGGCTGTCTGTACGGCCTGCGCTTCGCTCTGTTCCAACGGCGACTGATTCACAGTTGCTGGCGGAGGCTGGAATCTGTCTTTGAACGACTTGCCATAGATAAAAGTGTAAGGTTCGGTTTTGAGCTTCTGTAGAGTGAACTCCTTGCGGTTCTCAAAATAACCGTTGTGTTCTGGCCAAACACAAACATACGAGTTACGTAGACACGATCTGCAAGATGGCTTGAACTCATCGCATTTCACTCTTCTTTTGCGACCTGAGAAGTTAGAGAAAAGGTGTAGCAAGTACTTACAGCACAAACAGCCTGTCTTGGCTCGGTTTATAACATTCCGCTTCTTACGGTAGGGTTCAACACCCATATCTTGCGAAATTTCAATAAAATTGGAAAAAGTCTCTCTTATCACAACGTTATTTTTATCTTTGGTCTTTGGTGTGGAAAAATACACTGACTAAACAATTTGGTAGCAGCGTTCTTCTGGCTTCTAAACTATTTATGCGCTAACTATTTCGTGCACTACTTGTGCCGCTTTTACGACCTCCTCATCAAACCACCGTCTTCCGGTGAGCTGAAGTGAGATTGGAGCACCTTTGAACTCTTTAGCATCCTTGTAAAGTTCGTACTCGTATTTCTCAATGTCGCTTCTTGGAGCGTACCCTGAATCTGGAACATCCACGGCAGGATCACACTTCAGGCCTGTTGGAAAAACAACGTTGGGAAAATCCAGAACGTTCCACAGTGAAGTATAACCCCAGTAATGAATAGTTTCCAGTTTGGCAGCAACAGAAACATAGGTTGGAGAAAGAATGAAATCAACACCAAGCTCCATCATTTTGTCTTGGTACTCCATTCTGTACTTGTCTCTGAGTGCCTGGCCCAGCCGTTCTTCAGTAGCAGACCATCCATCATCTCCACGTCCAAAGGCTAGGGCGTTTTTAGTTAGTTCAAGGACAGGTTCTCCCGAGGCAGCAAGAGCATCTTTCTGGGCCTTGTTTGCATCTGCGCTGTAGAAACAGTTGACAGTCTCCACACACTCCTTTACCCCAAATGGCTCCCATTCGACCACAGTCACTCCGGAAGCTTTTAGCTTCTCAGCAGCATACTTCAATCCTCTCAGAATAGGAGGAGTCGGCTTGACCACCCCATCATCGTACATAATTGCAACCTTGATGTCCTTGGCTGCAGGAACAGGAACGTCTCTCCAAGGAAGAGGAATCAGCGTTGCGTCTCTCTCCCAAGGTTTTGCATCAAGTGAGACCTTCATGAAAAGATCAATGTCCTGGGCGGTTCTTGCAAGTGGCCCAAGTACGCAAACAACACCTTCCTCCACTCCAGTGAACGAAAAGGTCACATTTTTCATTGACAATCTTTTCTGAGTAGGTCTCAGACCAAACACTCCACAGAAGGCCGCTGGACATCTAATAGAACCACCAATATCCGAACCAAGACCCATCACTGATCCCTTCATGGCCACAATGGCTCCCTCACCGGAACTGGATCCACCTGGAGTCAAGGCAGTGTTGTTGGGGTTTAGGCACAGCCCGGTAATGTTATTATTGGAGCACAAGTGCATCAGGGTTTGTGGCTCGGTTGTGCGGACATAGAACACAGCACCAGCATTCAGAAGCACCTCGACAGTCAGACACCAGTTATCGGTGACGTTATCGATTCTGATGACGTTAGCACAGTGAGTAACTTTCCCTTTATAGTTGTAGTGCTCTTTCAAGGAAATTGGAAGCCCGTGCAAAGGACCAACGGTTTTTCCTGTCTTTTTGTAGTATTCGTCAAGCTCCTCTGCTCTTTTGAGACCTTCATCCATAAAGAGTTCCATGGCGCAGTTTGTGGTCTGATGGGCCACAGTGGCAGTCTTGGCAAATGCCTTGAACACTTCCACCGAGGTAAGCTCTCCAGAAGCAATTTTCTCGACCAACTGATACCCAGGAGTGTCTATGATGGCTAGCTCTGGCTTGGTGAGAATCTTTTCTGCTAGAGAGGTGACATCGACACCAACACCTTTGGGAACCAATTCGTCAGGAAGTTTGTATTCGTCAAGAATACCAGCTTTCAGTTTTGCTCTGTAGGCCTCGACTTTTGGCATGAAAGTAGCATAGAGCTCTGGATTTTCAGTATCGTTGACGTAGCGACCGTACATTGTGGATAGGAGAGAACATGAGCAGCAGGAGCCTTTTATAAATCATGGTGGCCCCCATCAGAATTTCGGAACGAGTTTATTTCCCAATTTGGCAGTTGGGCTCCTTATCGGCTATCAGTAGACTTTTCATCGTTTTTTTGGTTTCCTCGAGAACGCAAATGGGCATCGTGGAAAAAAAAGACTGTAAACGGAAACAGGCTCGCTTAACATTTAGATCTGATCATGATTGGACATATTTAGCGAGCTGGCATCCAGTTTTAGCAACAGGCTCGTTAAAGGTGTTCAGCACAGTTTCTTACACCATCTTCATCTGAGAATCTCGCCCGATAACACTTGACTATAAAACTTGCTGAAACATTCGACTCTCCTAACCAGGACATGCACACCGAAATCGATTTTTCAGCTGTTCCAGGGACATCCCATTTGGTCGATCTGGACCACTCAGAGCAGGCCGTGGCAGAGACCAAAGAAGGGATCGTCTTGATCCCTACACCTTCAGATGACCCAAACGACCCGCTCAATTGGTCCAGGAACCGAAAATGGCTCAACATGTTTTGCATCATTGTCTACGTTTTTGGAGGATGTATTCCAGCTTGCTGTATCTATTCGATTCTCACTGATATATCTGCCGAACCAGAGATCAACATCACCACCAGTCAATTGAATGCCGGCACTGGCTATTGGTTCCTTTTCCTTGGGATTGGAGGTCTGTTTATGATGCCTCTGGCCCAACAGTACGGAAAAAGACCGACGTACATTCTCACGCTCCTTGCTACCGTTATGTTCAATCTGTGGCAGCCGTACATCACCACCAACGGGCAATGGATTGCATCCAAGATCCTGGCTGGATTTTTCTATGCTCCCGTTGAGTCTCTCCCAGAAGTCACCGTTGGAGATCTTTTCTTTGAGCACGAAAGAGCCACGTATATGGGGGTGTACAGTGCTGCACTTTTTGGTTCCAACTACATGGCTCCGATGCTTGCTGGCTTCGTGAGAGACGGACTGGGATGGAAATGGGTTATTTGGCTTTCGTGTATCTTCGGAGGTGTCTGTGTTGTTTTCATTGCTATTTTCATGGAGGAAACTAACTACACCAGAAAACTGCGGGTCAGAAGAGACTCAGACGGCAACATTGTTTCCACAATCACCAGCCACGGTGAAAAAAAGCCTTCTGACCTTGTCAACGTTACGTCAGCAGAAGCCAACCAGGCCAACTTGATTGAGGACGACTCCATCGACTACCCACCAGTCAAGACTTTCTGGCAGCGACTTTCCATCACATCGGGTGCCAAGAAGGAAAATCATTTGTACGACTACTTCAAGGCCATTATTCTCATGTTCCAATTCCCAAGTGTGCTCTATGCCGGATTTCTTTACGGAGCTGCTTTATTTTGGTACTCTGTCTTGAACGGAACAGAAGCTCTGGTGCTCGGAGCAGAACCCTACAACTTCTCGTCTGCCATGTGCGGTCTAGCTTACCTTTCGGCCGTCATCTTCTGTTTGATCATCTATCCATACGCTGGCTGGTCCACCGACTGGATCAAGATCAAGATCGCCAAGAGACATAACGGACTTTCTCAGGCAGAAGACAGATTCTGGGTGCTCCCGGTGTACATGATTTTGGGTCCTGCTGCGCTGATTCTCTGGGGAGTTGGTGCTGCACATGGAATCCATTGGTTTGGCGTGGTGGTTGGTTTAGGACTTATGGCTGGACTTTGTACCATTGGATGTGTCTGTGCCGTTACCTATGTGTTGGACTGCTACGAACACATGATTGGCCCAGCCATTGTGGCTGCCATTTTGATCAGAAACACGATGAACTTTGCTATGGATTACGGTATCACGCCGTTCATCACTAACGTGGGTATTCAGAACTGTTTTATTGCCTCGGCATTCATCTGTTTGTTCTGCGTGGGAACCTTCATCGTCATGATCTTCACTGGCTACTACTGGAGAAACAGAACCAAAGAAAGATACTGGAGAATCGTGCAACAGTACAGAGAAAAGGGACTGATAAGTTGAACAGATCCTCATGAGACAGGAATGCTAACCACCGATGACAGGTACATCTTTACCATTCATCTTCTACTAAAAGATTTTTCCGCTGGCTTCCAGCGTTTTTTTAGCTACTTGCTGCTAGTTTACTCGATAAACTTGTTTGGATTTTCTCTACTCGCTGAATTTCTTGTCGTAATCGGTCAGAACAAATCTGTACCGAACATGATTCGCGTGGCACCGTTCCAAAACCTCTTTAATCGACTTCTCTGAGATCGGCAGACACGAGGCCAATTTCTTGTCGGCAGCCAGCTGCAACATCTCCGGCATCTGTGGTCTGTTACCCAGATGCGAGGACCCAAAGAAAGCACCGTTACGAACGAAACCCATCGCCTCCACCGTAAATGGCTCCTCTGGCAGCCCCACGCAAACCATTTTTCCGTGCACTTTCAAACATCCCAAATATCCTTTAAGATCGAAGTTTGTTGACGAGCTACCGCACGAAACAATCAAGTCCATCTTTCTAGCATACGTGGTCTTCCAGTCTTTGTCCTCGTACGTGGCAATGAAGTGGTCCGACCCCAGTTTCTTGGCGTCCTCGGCTTTGGCACTGGTACGCGAAAAAGTGTACACCTCTGCACCAAGAGCCTTGGCAAACATCACGGCATAACCCAGGCCACCAATTCCAATGATTCAAACCTTCTTTCCTGGTCCACATCCGTTCTCAACAAGCGGAGAGTAGGTGGTGATTCCGGCACACAGCATTGGAGCAGCGTCTTGGGTTTTAAGAGCATCTGGAAAAGGGAACACAAAATACTCGTGTGCGAGGATGTGCGACGAATAGCCATCGTAAGTCTTTGTTACGTCCGCATATTATGAGTTATAGATGCTTACAAGGTAAGGACAGTACGTTTCGTGGTTGTCTTTGCAGCTTACTTGAAAATGATTGCACCCAGAAAAGGATTTAAATAATGTTCCGAAAAAATTGTGGGGAAACCTAACCCCAGTATCCACCCCGCCACCCCTTTTAATTTTTCCTCCTTTTTAATTCTACTCCCCCCTTCACTTACATACGAGCATTACAAAGTCCCCGGCGTTTGATTACCTCAGATACTACTTATCTTCATTTTATCAGCTATTTAGCCTCCCCCTTGTAGAACTCATAATCGGTGTATCCGTGTGCTGGCTCCGGTGCCCAGTAGAATGTGTCCCTCTCGTACTTGTTCAGAGGCCAGTCGTGCCTTAGTCGCTCAACTAAGTCAGGGTTCGAGATGAAGTACCTGCCAAAGGCAACAAGATCAGCAATGTCGTCTTCAGTGTACGATATTGCTCTCTGTCTATCAATCGCACCTGCCGCAATGAACTTGATGCCCGCAGGCTTCAAAATGTCTCTAAAGATCTTCAGGCTGAACTGCTGCTTTACACTCACCTGCTTTTCTAAGTTCTTTAGCTTCTCAGCCTCTGGAACGACAAAATCACTTCTTGGATCGACCATGTGCACATAGGCCACTGGCTCCACAAACTGTGCTATCTGTTCACACACATACGACCAGTGTGTGTTAGGGTCAGTGTCGTAGCAGTCCTGGAAGTTTCCGTAAGGACTAAAGCGAATACCAACCTTAGAGGCACCAATTGCATCAGCAACAGCTTTGATAACCTCCAATGGGAATCTGGCACGCTTCTCAATGCTTCCGCCATATTCGTCATCACGGGTGTTGATATTGTCCATTAAAAATTGGTCCAGCAGATACCCGTTGGCACAATGCACCTCAACAAAGTCAAATCCTGCAGCAACAGCATTTTTGGCGGCATTAACGTAATCGCTAATAACATTTTGGAAGTCGTCGCCATGCATCTTTCTTGGAGGGAAGTCCTTGAACTCCAACCCATTGATCATGAAGGTACCCTTCAGTGGTGTAGAAGTCGAAGAGATAGGCTGAATACCATGAAGTTCTAGAGCAGTGGTGGCTCTACCAACATGCCACAACTGACAGGAGATAAAGGCCTCTTTGGCGTGGACAGCTTGAGTGATCTTTTTCCATCCTACAACCTGATCGTCGGCCCAGATACCAGGAACACCGGAGTAGCCGCAGGAAGTGATTGAAATAGCACATCCTTCACTGATCAGAAGTCCTCCTGAAGTAGCTCTTTGGGAATAGTACTCAACCATCAAATCATTTGGCACAAAGTAACCCTTGGTTGGTGTTCCCCTGCATCTGGTAAGGGGTGCAAGAGTGACACGATGACTTAGTTCAACATTTCCAAGCTTCAGTGGTTTAAAAAGTGTAGGTTCCATTATACCTGAAAGATTTCAAGAAAGAAGTAAGATTTAGGGGTATATATGTCAACCCAAATTAAAATCGCCGAGTGACAGGATTCCATGAAAGATTTCGGAGAATTTATGCCGAGAAGGCCATTCACCCTTAAGAATGCATAAATCCGAAATTCTAACAGACTGCATTGAAACTAAGCCCTACGTCTTACTAATCACCAAATATCAGAAATTCTAACCGTTACCTAACGCCTCTCGTTTTTAAATCGTTTTCGAAGAGTAGATCTCTGTGCTCCAAAATCGGGTGCCCAAAAACTCCGAAATACTTTTTGTTTCTTTTTTGGCTGTATGCACTCCACAGGGTCTTGATATCAAGTGAACTTATTTCGAAATACAATTTATATTGTCATGCAGATATCTGTTGAGTGTTATCATGATTGAAGTCATTGGTGTACTGACTATGTGCAGGAAGTCTTTGCTACGTGTCTATTGGCGATGTCGATAACGAGCCTGATTTGCGCTGTGTCAACTAAGACCTTAATCTCGTTGATTGTTTTCCGTGCCTTACAGGCTATTGTAGGAGCATTCATGATCCCTACTGCAGTTGGGTAGTGTGACAATTCAGTCAAAGTGTTCTGCACAGCAGCGAGTATTGATAGCACTTTCTTTTTCCAGACCGTGGATGCAATCTCTATCTAGTGCGCAAGATCTTACTGATCTGATCTGCTGTCGATTTTAGAAGAACACGCATTGAATAGCACGAACTGATCATGCTAACCGCTATTTGTTTCTGGATATACGAATTTGTTCCTCCATTATCATAAAATACGGAACTAACAATTTTTAACGTGTTTTCCATCTCTTTCTGCTTTCTTCGACGTCCTTACATCTGCAAGCGAATATTACGGGTATATTTTCAGATAATACGTCAAAATTCCAAGAGTTCGGGCACTGCGATTGCTTCATCCATTATAGGTGCCCTAGATTAATCCAAAGTTTATTCAAAATTGTATATACAGACAAGATGTCTAAACGCGCTTTGGTTCAAAGTGGCCTGTTTTGCATTGAAATTGCTAATCATTTTGCTCAGTAGGAACAACAGACTCAGGCAAAAGTAAGGCCAAGGAAAGCAAAGATGAAAGCCAGAAACCAATCAAGGAATATGATATCGAGAACCCAGCTTAATATACGATAACGGCCAGAGAAATCAAAGTATATCAACAGGTGATCAAAGCATGAACAATTTGGTTAATGTGTTCAATTTTCAATTCTAGCTGATACGTTTTGAACAAAGTCGGCTAAGCCTTCAATCAAATGATTATTCGAGAGATCATAGAATTGGCGAAATCCATCATGAAAAACTTCTTGCGAGAACCACTCATTCCATTCCAGCTGATTGTGCGGATCTATGCTTAGTCTAGCTCCTGGGTCTGTTCTTCTCTTGGTCTTCGATTCTGTATCTAATTGCTCTGCGATTGCACCCGAAACTGTTTCATATAATGACTTGAATCTCGCGTATTTGGGATAATAGATACAGGCTTCTTGCATGATCTTCAACAATCTCCCAGAAAAGTTATTTATATCCGTCGGATTTGATTCGAGTCTCCAGCAACAATAAATCATGGTGAGTCCAATTGCAAGAACGTCGTGTAAACATGTGGGGGTCACTTTCCAGCCGCTCGCAATTAAGGAGTTGTAACATTCCACCCCTAGAATACATTTCTCTTTGCACAGTTGAATCGCGGCTCCATCCGGCAACGGAAAAGAAGGCGAAGGTCTATTCAAAACAATGGAGAAAACACAGTACCGTACTTTGAGCTCGTGGTAGCATATGAGATTGTTTGGTACTTCTATCTCCACTTGTTTCATCCAGATGTCCAGTCGAGCTTGCAGCTCGGATCGAATGGATTGAATCTCTTCATCGTCAAGAGGAGGTTGACTTCCAGGGGTCCTAGAGATGTAAACACTTTCCAACATATCTCCAGCAATTTCTGAGATTTTAATAAGCATGATGCTTGGTAGCAATTGCACTTCATTATATGAAGTGCTCAAATTAATGATGTGATCGTCTTTGAGAAGTTTTGGCAAAGGGGTATCAATAGCTTTAGTTCTTAGAGAAAGCCCTCGTCCGAACTTCATAGCAACCGTTCGATCGGCTATATATGAGCACCAAAATAACCTGTTTCGTTGCTCGTCGCGCTCCTCGCCAAAACTCCATGTGGGGTTATAACGATGAACCCCTAGCTCCATGGCGAGGGACATACAAAACCGACTCAGGTACCAAAGATCTCCATTATCGTCTTCTAAAGCGTCTGCCTCTAGCTTCCATATGACTAGCAAGAGAAGAGCCTGGAGAGATTTTTCAGACCGATTTCCTAATATGTTCTCCAAATATCTAGAAGCAGTGTTGTAATACTCATTGGGGGTGAAGGGGTTTCGTATCGCATCAGCATGTGTAAGTTTCTGTGACGCAATTGCCATGATCATGAAGAAAGTATATTTTTCATAACGTGATATTTCCTGCGGGCGCTCATAGATATTTGTCTGTAACAAGAGCAATTGAGGTATGTTATGCACTGGATAATAGATTTGTAGCGTGTCAATATATTTCTGCAATAAGAACTTGGACATCTGTAATGAAGGTAAGGCTGCACAAGACTGGGTGACTTCGAGGTCAAAATTCTCGAAGTCGCTGGTATTAGGTTTGTCCAGATTATTTTTCAGGTCCAACTGTTTTAGAAACAAACGAGCAAAGTTGAGGCCCGTTGCTGCTCCAATGTATTTTCCTGAATTAAGGTTATTTGTGACCACCAGGCTTCCAACTTCATGAGCCACGTTTTCAATCAGGCTGTCCTTCTTTGATTGTTCAAGCTGTCTTATAATAGGTTCAACTGTCTTGTGACTATACCCCACCTCTTCTGCGATATTGCAGTCAAGGTTGGCTTTTTCACATCTTAGACACTTTGGGAAGCTTGTCGGACACTGGCATTAGTCAACTGTCACTAAACTTACCTTCACCTTTTTTGCCTTGCAATGTTTGCAAGGCCTTTCAAAATCTGGTTTGGGGAGCGCGACCATTGTGTTCGCCAAATAATGATTATTCTGATTTTTTTGGCATAAGTGAGGCTTACACAAACGCAGAAATTTGCATTTCGCGTGATAAGAGAACTCGGGGAAGCCGAGCACCACGGCCCAGTAAAAGATTTTTTTTTCTTGTTTGTTTGAGAACCCCAATGCACACAATCACAACAGTGGAAGCACACACTTGTGGGGAGCCTTTCCGGGTTGTCATAGGAGGACTTCCCAGCCTGCCGGGCAAAACTCTTCTGGAGAAAAGGACGTGTCTAGAGCGGGAGCATGACTATATAAGACTATCGCTGATGAGGGAGCCAAGAGGACATTACGACATGTTTGGAGGGTTTCTCCTAGATCCAATCGAAAATGGTGATGCTGCCGTCCTTTTTATGAATCCTAGTGGCTATACAGACCAATGTGGCCACGGAATCATTGCGATTGTCACTCTCTTAATCCAGCTACGCAAGTTGCCTGATGACCATTACAGACTAAAGCCAGATTTGATGTCAGTTAGACTCGAAACTACCGTCGGCATACTCGAAACAGAGGCTTGTTGGACTGGCCAAAAGGTTGAGTATGTAAGGTTCCGTAACACCCCTGTTTGGATCCTTTACGAGAACTTGACAGTCAATTCCTCCATGGGCCCGATTACAGGAGACATCGTTTTTAATGGGGCATTTAACTTTTTTGCAGAGCTTGATCCAATTGTTCTTGAAGTGAAACCTGAGAATTCAAGTCGCATTATCGAACTGGGCGGTGAGATTAAGGAGAAAATACAAAAAATCGGGTTGGACATCTCCAGCAAGGAGTTCCCTCAGATTAAAGGCCTACACGGAGTTGATTTCGTTAATGTAATACAAAAGAATCCGACAGATGAAACAAAACCCGACCAGATATCTGTTTTGGTGCTAGGCCACAAGCAAATAGACAGATCTCCTTGCGGCTCAGGAACAGCTGGAAGAACAGGTTTGCTATACTTGAAGGGTCGGATTTCACGCGACCACATTTTCGTGAACGAGTCCATCATTGGTTCTACCTTCAAAGCCAAGATTGTGAATACTGATGTTAGGGCAAATTGTGACACCAAAAGAGCCTGTGTTGTTGAAATTCAAGGTCAAGCACATTTGCTTGGAAAATCAGAATGGTGGCTTGATCCTGATGACGAGATCGGATATAGAGGGTTTGTAATACATAGATAAGCTACCGCTATTTGTAAACATCTCGGAAAACCCTAGGAAAAAGTCTCGGGGATCCCGATCTAAAAGAGTCAAAAAAAGCTGTCGCAAGTTGTGGCTCCTAAAATATTGCTCTCGAGGAATCTTATATAAATGTAGATGGATATCTCAACACCTGCATAGAGAGACTCTAATTATGGCTGAAAAGGATGTTCACACCGAGTCCATTCTGGAAAATAACGACAGTTATGACAACTCTCCAGAGATGCTTGCTGAGGAGCTGAAGCTCAACAAACGTGTGGTGACCAAGATTGATCTTATTGTGCTACCATTTCTTGTTTGCACGGTGTTCTTACAGCTTCTAGACAAGAATTCTCTTTCTTATGCTGCGATCTATGGTCTGAAAACTGATAACAACTTGAAAGGACAAGAATACAGTTGGCTAGCAACAATATTCTACCTAGGGTATCTGTTTGCGGAAATACCAGTGTTTTTCTTGCTACCCAGGATCCATAACTTAGGCCGTTTCATGTGTATAGTCATGATGATTTGGGGAGCACTGCTAATGTGTATGTCTGCATGCCATAACTTTGCAGGTCTAGCGATTATCCGTTTGTTTCTGGGGATTCTTGAGGCCGCAATCCAGCCTTCTTGCATTGTGATTTCAACTACTTGGTATACAAAGAAGGAACAGCCTATTAGAATGGCTTTGTGGTCCAACACGTTTGCCGGTGTGTTCAACGGTATCTTCGGTTATGGAATAGGTCACTGGGGAGGCCCGCTGGCGATCTGGCAATACATTTTTCTAGTTTATGGTGCCGTCACTGTCGTCTTTGGGGCCTGCTATTACTTTATTCTCCCTTCCAAGATTGAAACTGCATGGTTTCTTTCAAAGAGAGAACGCCAATGCGCAATTGCCCGGACAGCAACCAATCAAACCGGTATTCATCTGAATCTGGGAGAAATCAAGTGGTCGCAGATTTTGGAATCTGTTCGGGACCCTAAGTACTGGCTACTGGTGGTGTTCATCATTGTGCAGAACTTTATCAATGCCGGAATTACCAATTTCAACACCTTTATCATCAAAGGATTTGGGTATTCAAACTACAAAACCATGCTTCTTGCCACGCCTCAAGCAGCCGTGGCCATGGGAGCCTGTCTTACAGTGGCATTTATTTGTTACTTTGTGAAGAATATCAGAACCATTCTTATTTGCATAACAACGGGCGTCACGATGGCTGGCATCATTATGGTCTGGAAAGTCTCTCCAGAAGAGCACAGAAAGACTTGCCTTGCGGCAGTGTATATTTGTGGTTTCTACAATGCTCCATATGTGCTGACATTGTCGCTTATCGCATCGAATAATAGCGGCAGCTCCAAGAAATCTTTCAACTCTATCAGTGTGGGTCTGTTCTATGCTCTCGGAAATCTTATAGGTCCCCAGTTCTTTATTGATTCTGAGTCTCCAACATATCATACAGGAATCAAAGCTATGTTGGCTGCATGTGTGATCATGTTTTTCTGCGTGAGTACGTATGCGATTTTGTGTTTTTTGGAGAACAAGAGGAGAGACCGAAACCATGAATCGGAGAGCGGCGTTCCGCTAACCATTGAAGAGCTAATTCGAGTGGGGGAAGAAGTTGATGAACACGATCTAACAGACGTGCAAAATAAACATTTCCGTTATAGCTTTTAGTTATGCGTACAATACTTCGAATATACGCGATCTAGTTCGAGAAGAAAGCTTTCTTTGAACTCGACGTCAGGCGTCCAAGCCATTCTTATAGCATTTTTTTCAAATTCGTAGATATCCTTGAATGTGAAATGGCACCCTTCCGCAACACCTAATATTGTTCCCGTCTTGGAGTAAACAAGATATGCGGGGTCATCACTATTCAACGTGATCGGAATTCCATAGCGATGTAGCCTGGTAACTTTCGGGAATACATTTTGAGGTCCCAAATGTTTTTGGTAGCCCATAGGACATAGTGTGAGTCCTATATTGGCTTTTTTCACGAGCTCCAACAATTCGGGCTTGTCAGCAGCATTCAATCCATGGTCTATTCTATCTGCGCCACTCTCAAGTTGGGGAAGTAAATAATGCTCCGGGTTGTCAATTTCATGAGTAGCTGGCTTGCCTCTTTTCCCTCCCAGCTTAGTAACTGCGTACTCTATATGATCATGTGAATTTTTCTGACCAACGTCGCAATGAGCAGTAATCTTCCACTCATATTTACGTGCCATCAAGAACGTTTCCTGAAATTTACTTGGCGGATTGTTGTACTCATCGGAATCCAGACCCAGTGCTATGATTTTGTCTTTGTAAGGTTCTGCTTGGCGGATCGTCTCAAGAGCACTTTCTGCTGACATGTCTCTCAGAATGCACATTATCCAATGAATCTGGACACCGTACATTGGAGCCATTTTTTGAGCTTTCAGAAGACCACTCATCACGGTGTCAAAACTAACTCCCCGGGAAGTATGAGCCTGGGGGTCAAAAAATGCTTCTAAATATCTGATATTCTGAGACTGGGCAACTTTGATGTAGTCCAAAGCCAAATGGTAGAAATCGTCCTCTGTAAGCAGCACATTCATGGAGGCATAGTACACCTCCAAAAACTCCTGCAAGTATCTGGTGGCATCTTGACCCTCCTCATAGAGATATTCGGTTAAGTATTGACTTTTAAGCTCTTCTAAAGACTTCACCCCAGGAATGGCAATTCCATTTGCTTGCGCACATAACCAGCGCCGTTCAGCCGTTAGCGTGCCCTCTATATGAAGGTGCAGCTCGCATTTGGGCAGCTCGTTCACAAAAGTTTTGATATCCATTGATTGAAGATATTCTCTACTGTTGCGGCCAATAATATTTTGCCACGGGACACGCAACCTTATAATCAGCGCTCAAATTTTTCAGTGCCACCGTTCTCAGCCTTATCTATGCCTGATAATCATTTTCTACGGCTATACCTATTGTAATCTATGCAAAATTTTCCAGATTTGAGTATCTGCGGGCGCCGAAAGCCGGCGCTATTGTTTTTCGCTCTGCCTTTCTATGCGGCTACAGAATCATTGCAGTGAAGCATTATCTTATTGGAAAAATCATTAGTAGCTGTAGCTCGAACTTGAATAACTAGACTTTCAAACATGGTGGTGATGCGCGTTGGTCAAATTTTGCCTGCCTTGTGTGAAATGCCATCTCGAAAAAATTGCTTGCGTCTCCGCATAATAACTTCGTCTGCAGGATACGGCAGGGGGTTTTTCTATCACAGTCGATAACTAAATGAATCTGTCACGAGGCTATTCTGAATAGATGATGCCTTTCAAAATTTTTCTGTTATAAATGTCATTCAATTTCCCCTTTGAGGACCACCTATCGTCATGCTAGAAGCTCCTCTTCCTCAAGGCGCAGGATATGCCGTTGTCGTTGGACTCGGCTTTGTGTTTTCTCTAGGAATGATAATGACCACATTTATTCTCCGAAGGTACCAAAAAGAGATTATCACTGCTGAAGAGTTTGTGGCCGCTGGTCGGTCTGTCAAAACCGGTTTGATTGCAGCGGCAGTTGTGAGTTCCTGGACTTGGGCAGCCACACTGCTACAATCGTGTACCCAGGTGTACAAGAACGGTATTTCTGGAGGTGAGTACCGTGGTGTATGCAAATTATTTACTAACTGACAGGTTTCTACTATGCCTCGGGTGCTACCGTGCAGATTATTCTGTTTGCGTTTATTGCCATCAAGGCCAAGCAGAGAGCCCCAGAAGCTCACACATACCTAGAAATAGTCAAGGCCAGATATGGAACCACTGCCCATGCGGTTTACATGTTCTTTGCCATTGCCACAAACGTGCTGGTGACTGCTATGCTTCTCACGGGAGGCTCTGCCGTCATTAGTGACTTGACTGGCATGAACACTGTTGCTGCCTGCTTCCTGCTACCGGTTGGTGTCGTTGTGTATACTTTGTTTGGTGGAATCAAGGCCACCTTCCTGACCGATTACGCTCACACCATTGCCATCATTGTCATTATTTTCACATTTGCATTTACCACCTATGTTTCTGGAGACGTTTTAGGATCCACAAGCAAAGTGTATGACCTGGTCATCGAGGCCGCCAAGGAGAAGCCGATCGAAGGCAATGCCAAGGGGTCCTTCCTCACCATGAATTCTCGTTCTGGAGGAATTTTTTTCGTCATAAACATTGTTGGAAACTTTGGTACTGTTTTCCTTGATAACGGATACTGGAACAAGGCCATAGCCTCAAGTCCTGCTGCAGCTTTGCCCGGTTACATTTTTGGGGGCCTTGCTTGGTTTGCTGTTCCTTGGCTTGTGTCTACCACTATGGGTCTTGCCTGTGTTGCTCTCGAGAAGACGCCGGCATTTCCTTCATATCCAAACTTGCTGACGGATGATGAAGTGTCTGCAGGTTTGGTGCTACCAAGCGCAGCGGTTGCCATGATGGGAAAAGGCGGTGCGGTTGCTGCGTTGATTATGGTCTTTATGGCCGTCACTTCTGCCTCCTCTGCTGAATTCATTGCTGTCTCCTCAATTTTCTCGTATGACATCTACAAAGGCTACATCAACCCTTCGGCGTCCGGAAAAAGACTTATTTTCACCTCGCACGTGTCGGTCGTGGTCTTCTCCCTGGTGATGTCTGGCTTTGCTACCGGCCTGTGGTATGCAGGCATCTCCATGGGCTACCTGTACGAGCTTATGGGTATCATTATTTCCTCGGCTGTTTTCCCTGCAGCTATGACTCTGCTATCAAAGAGACAAAATGTTCAGGCCGTTGTCTGGTCACCTATTCTTGGGACAGCTTTTGCTATCATGAGTTGGCTTGTGTGCACAAAAAAGAAGTTTGGAAGTATAACTGTGTCCAACACTTTTGAGGACGATGCCATGCTGACAGGTAACGTTGTTGCTCTGCTCTCGCCATTGATCTTTGTGCCGATCCTGACTTATGCTTTTGGATCGCAGGACTTTGATTGGGAGATTCTCAAAACCATTAGAAGAGTGGATGAAACTGAGGAAATCATTGAGGCCACTGAGCCTGCCACGGAGGACGCAGAGTTCCAGCCTGTCAAGTCGCATATGACTGCCATTGCTCACGACATCTACGAGCAAAAGAAAGCTACGGCTGCTGCAGAAGAGGAGGAACTTCTCAGAAGAGCCTCAAAAATTGCTGGATACACCTGCTTGTTTATGGCAATCTCGCTGCTTGTGCTTTGGCCAATGCCAATGTATGGAAGCAAGTATATTTTCTCCAAGAAGTTCTTCACGGGATGGGTGACTGTTGGCATTATATGGCTGTTCTTTTCTGCATTTATTGTCATCATCTACCCACTATGGGAAGGAAGACATGGAATTTATGTTTCCATGAGAGGAATTTACTGGGACCTCACTGGACAGACCTGGAAACTTAGAGAGTGGCAGAATGAGCATCCTGAGGAACTGCATGTTGTTCGCAGTCAGGTGTCTGCCGAAATTGCTCATGAAAGAGCCGAAGGAATTGACCAGGCCATTGAACACCTCTCCGAAAAAGATTGATTGAGCCTTTTGTATCATTTGCTACTTATCGTGGCTCTCTACTAATTTGAACCCGTTTTAGAAAACTGTATTTCGTAGACACCTCGCACCATTCTTATCAAAGCGATCTCGCTGCTTGGATAATTTTAATGAAAAATAAACGCTTTGAGTGTGAAATATGCCACAAAGGGTTCTCCAGAGCGGACTATCTGAGCCGTCACCTTGTCAACCATGACGCTGTTAAGCCCTACTCGTGTCAACAGTGTAACGTGGCATTTGCGCGTCGAGATTTGCGAGAGAAGCACTTGAAATCCAAAACTCATCAGCGCAGGATCGAGCTTCTGCGGGCACAAGATGGAATATCCCATGAGGCTAACACCTATGCTACTGCCGAAAGGCGTCCAGAGCGGTCACCGGATAGTTATAGCTGGCTGTTTGGGGATTACGACTACGATCAGTCAGCCTCGTCTTTGGACGAACCACACATGGAGCCACCATTCCCGGACTTCTCCGTCATTTCCGAGCCATCTTTGACCCGCAAAGATATCTACGGCGAGACTACTATTGACATGCTGCTGGAAATGCTCCAGCTTCAGCAATTGAGAGCGTCTCTTAGTCCCGTTACGGTTTCGTATTTTGCTGATTTATTTTGGACTAATTTCGATGCTAACTATCCTATCATCCACAAGCCATCATTTGGCTCTCATAGCCATCCATTCCTCCTTACTCTGGTTATGGTAATTGGCATGGTTTATTCAAAATCCAGCTTCAACATGGACATGGCAGTCCGAATTCAGGGCAGGCTGCTGAAACTCCAGATGAACATGCTCTGCGACTCCCAGGACCTCAATCTGGAGTTAATGCAGTCTTTGATTCTGACATGCTACTTTTGCTCCAACATTGGCGACCGTAGTTTGCAGAAACAGATGCGTCTTTTCCATGCCACCATCATCGGAGTATTGGACGTTCCGAGCCTCACACGGTCATTACAGGAGCCTGAACTTTTAGATCTCGACAATGTCTCAAGCGCAGATATGGGAGAGCGGTGGCAAGAATGGATAGAGTATGAGTCTCGCAAACGATTGGCTTTTTTTGCATACATCTGCGACTCGCAACACGCGTACCTAAATGAGTGTCACGCTTTGATATCCATATTTGACTTGCAGCTCGATCTCCCGTATACCGACGCCGTCTGGACGGCCTCTGATGCAGAACTATTCATGTCAGAGTACTCAAAGCAGCCGCGTGAGCTGATGCCGCGAAGAAGACAGTCGGTGTCTATGCAAACAGAAAACTCAATTAATATCATGCCCCATATCAAGGAAGAAGGGAGCTGGCCCAATTTTTTGTTTTCGCTCAGACGTCTAATGCAGCCGTATAAAGACCACCAGAAAGAGTACAATATGAACTGCTTCTCGCAGTTTTCGAGGCTGATTTTCTTGCAAGGCCTGATTAGCATTACGTGGGATCTGCGATGGAAGGGGCTGCAAGACCTGGGCATTGTGTCGAACAAGAAAATGAGTGCTTTAATATTGAGACTCCAGGATGCCTACAATCAGTGGCGCGAGTATTTTGACTTCCAGATTCTGACTACCAACAACACTTTCCTGAAGAAAGATGACTCCCAAAGCACCACACTCGCGTATTTGAACAAGTACGACACCTCGCCGATATTTTGGAATAACCTTACCCAGTACCAATTTGGGCTTCTTCTTCTACATGTCGACACCTTTGCGGTGTATAAACTTGCTTCCCAATACGCGAATGCTGTGTCTCGGGAAAATCCGCACCCGCGAATCAATGTGTCTACCAAGATCCGGGCATGGATCCGGAGTTCTAGCTCACAGCTTTCCCTGAACAATGCGTGTAAGCTTTTACGGACTGTGTTCCTGAGGACAGGAGTGATATTTTCCATTCCGCATTTGGCTAAGTACGTGGCAGCGTCATGTCTTGCACTCTGGTGCTACGAGACATTCAGAGAGGACATTCCCGCTGGAATCCGACAAAGCTCACTTCCAAATCCCATTAGATACACGCAGAACGGGATGATCGACCAGAACATTACAAAGGAGGACACATTGCAATATCTGCACCTTATCATCGAAAAAGAGGAATACGGGGGTCGTGAGTACGAATATACTATCCGTCAGCAATACATCCAAGGTTTGCTGTGCTACTTCAGTCTTTTGTTGGATCTGAACGAGTGGAAAGGTTTAGATATTAACGGATCACTACTTAGACAGCTGGTATTCAAGAAATATCAGCAGCAATAAATCAGCAAGCTACACCGAGCTCGAGTTGTCCTCAACGACTTTTGCGACGTAGTTGGTTTTTTCCGAATCCAATACTTCGGTTTCCACCTCAATGTCTTTCTCATAGTATGGGGCTTCGAGTCCTAAGCCGAGAGGAGGAAAGAAATAACCAATCAGCGAATGCACAACAAACGTGGTCAGCAGCCCGACAAGGTAAGTCAGGTTGTAGAATTTCTCATAGCCAGAAGGCATAGGATAATTTCCTGCAGTGCAAACAAGCCCAGGAAAAGTTGGCAGCGAGCCAATTGCAAAGGAAGTCAGCCCTCTCCAATTGAGCCCCCATCTGGTCCAGTAAATAGAGTTGTGGCATCTGTATAGATCACGCATTCTATACTTCATTCTTCTGACAACAAAAAAGTCGGCAATGGCACCGCCGACAAGGGGACCCACAAACACGGAAAAGCCCGACAAGACGGTCAAGAAGGTGTTGGAGGTGGCAAGAAGTTTCCATGGCTGACAAACCAATCCAATAGCAGTCATGACGTAGCTCCCACGGCGGATATTGATATATTTCGGAGCAAATCCAGAAATGTCCATTCCGGTGCTGCAAGCTGTAAGAAGTACGGCTTGCCACAGTTGTCCGGAGATGATTCCAAAGGACGCAAAAAACACCCCAGCGCGCACTGAAGGGCTAAAGTTGTAGTGGGTCAGTAATTTGGGAAGCAAAGTCACCGGATTCCAGTAAATGTCACCCAGCACTGGCTCCATGGCGGCGGAAGCGAAAATGCCCATGGCTGCCGTCAAAAACAGGGTCACTGGAGCGGTAACCATCTGACTAAAGTTGGGTGCAAACCTGGTTTTCGCGTATCTCGTCCAGTCACTTTGCCCCAGAACACCTGAATTTGACCCGCAAATGTTGGTGATCATAAAAAACGCTGCCCAGCCTGGACCAGTGCTCGTTGTTTGCTCTCTGTTCCACAGAGGGCCCAGCTTTCCGCCGTTAGCGTGGATAGCCCACCCCATGAGACCAAAGAAGGATCCTGTCTGGAGAATAAACGATATGTGCACCATAGGCTGCATTTTTTCCGGTGGAATAAGCATCATCACTGTAAACAGGATGATAGCCAAGAACACGCCTAGAAGCTCATTCTTCGTCAGTGGGCTCCAGTCAGAAAAAGCCTCCCCCATAGTTCCGGTGATAAATGTCGGCGATAGCGAACCAATAGTGCCCACAAGGGCTTGGCCCATGTAGTAGAAATGTAAACCCTGCCAAATACACGCAATAAAGGATTTAATCGCGATGGGCAGGTAACAGCCATAGAAGCCGTAGGCAGCTCTGGAGGAAACAGTGTAGCCGATCCTACACTTTTGGCCAATGGTGCCAATAAGCACCGCAATAAGACCGACAATTACAGCACCACCGGCTATAGCTGCGAGAGCCTGCTTACAGTTCAAACCGTACGCGAGGGCGGAGGATCCCATGGACCAAGTAGGGATGCCCATTCCAGCAACTGCCCAGTAGCCAAAGTAAGACATGGCAGTCCATGTTTGACGGTCTTTTGGTATTGGAATCAAATCTCTATTCGTCCAGCGATCGTTATCGTACTCGGAGTTCTCGTCTTTTGGAACAGCAAAAAGCTCCGATGCCGGCAGCTTCTCGGGGTTCCTGATCATCCTGACAATCCAGGGGTCATTGAACGGGTTTGGGATACCCAGGTCGTGAACTTTCCAATCTTGAGACATGGCTTTGGGGTTTAGCCGGGCACGCAGAGCTGATTTATAGTTTTGCACAGATCCTGAAATCCCGATATTACAGGTGCGTTATCGACAGCTTCAAAATTCGGTGGGCAGACCGCCAGGCGGTCAGTTCTCGGTGGAGGAGGGCTTATCAGGTTATTGTTGCAACAATTTCAAACGCAGACTTTTGACGGTGGAGTAAGCGTGTCGGATAAGATCCCAATTCGGAAGCCATGTCCTCGATAAGAATGCAATTTATATAAACTACTCCTTTTTAATATCCGCTAAATAGATATGTTAATTGGTGTCGACGTTGGCGGAACAAACACAGATTCGGTGCTCATTGACCCCACTAAAATCAACACAGATTCACATGGGGTCCTTGCTTGGAATAAGATGGTCACATCAGCTGAGGTTTCCGACAGCATTCAAAAAGGAATCTCCAAGCTGTTTCTGGACAATAAAAGCGTCGATAAGAAAGACGTGGCCTCTGTGACTATAGGAACAACCCACTTCATCAACGCCGTTGTCGAGCAGGACCGTGCACGGCTTGACAAAGTGGCTGTGCTGAGACTCTGTGGCCCTTACTCCAGACACGTTTATCCGTTTTCAGACTTCCCGAGCGGGCTGACTGCGGTAATCAAGGGATATATTGGCTATTTGAACGGCGGATTTCATGTTGATGGTAACGAAATTCAGCCGGTCAAGGAGGAGGAAGTGCTCGAACATGTCCGTAAAGCCAAAGAACTTGGCATCACCTCCTTTGCGGTGGTTGGTATTTTTTCGCACATGAAGCCAGAACAGGAGGAACTTGTCAGGGAAATTATTCTGAAGGAGATCCCCCATGCAAAGGTGAGCGTTTCGCATCAGGTGTCCGGAATTGGTTTTCTGGAAAGAGAGAACGCCACAATTCTGAATGCCTCGATTCTCCATTTTGCGGAAAAGATCATTTCCTCCTTTGCCAATGCAACCAAGAAGCTGGGGCTCAGCTGTCCAGTTTTTTTGACGCAGAACGACGGCACTATTCTTTCTGCAGCTGAGGCTTTGAGCCTGCCAATCCGAACTTTTTCCTCTGGAGCCACCAACTCCATGCGAGGAGCGTCTTTTCTGGCTAAAACCCACGGAAAGAGTGCCATTGTGCTCGACGTCGGCGGCACAACAACCGATGTGGGGCTGCTGCTATCTACTGGATTCCCAAGACAATCCTCTTCCTACTCGATCGTCGGTGGTGTCAAGATGAACTTTTCCATGCCTCACGTTGAGAGCATTGGACTTGGCGGTGGCTCGCTAGTCAGAGGTGCCGGTGACGCTTTAACGATTGGCCCAGACTCTACCGGTTCGGAGATTGTCAAGCGTGCGCTGGTTTTTGGTGGTTCAGATGTCACTGCCACCGACTGTGCCGTTGCAGCAGAGCTGTTGCAGGGTGGCAGTCTAGAGATCGGAACAGTTTCTCATGTCAAAGACAAGTTCAGTCCCGAGTATCTTGCTGCTTTCCAGAAGCGGGCCAAAATCATGGTTGAGAAGGCGATTGACCGCATGAAGACCAGTCCGGACGATATCACTGTTCTTGCTGTTGGCGGTGGCTCGTTCGTTGTGCCGGAGCATTTGGCCGGCGCATCCGCCGTTATTAGGCCGCCGTTCTACAGCGTTGCCAATGCCATCGGAGCCGCCATGGGCAAGGTGTCGGTGGAGCTTAGCGAGATTAAAGTGCTGGCTCCAGAAACCACATCGAAGGAGGAGGTGCTGGAAAAGCTTAGAGAAAAAGCTAGAGAAAAAATCCTAGCCAAAGGTGGTCTTGAGAACACCATTGAGACCGTTTTTGTGTCTACGGATGCAGTCCCGTACGTTCCCAACACGTTTGAGTTTGTGATCAAAATCGTTGCAGATGTGGACTACTCCAAAGCTCCAAAATTGGAGGTGGACGAAGGGCAGTTTGAGTCCGGTACCCGAGATATTGTCAAGAAGTCACTGTACGAGGAAACAAAGACCGCTATTGAGGAAGAAATTGATTACACGACCTACAGGCCTGCCATTAACAAAGACAGACAGTGGGTATTGTCCGAAGTGGATCTCGACTTTTTGGCTATCGGAGCATACATCCTTGGCTGTGGGGGCGGCGGAAACCCGTACTCGTATATGCTCGAGGTTAGAAATTACTTGCGCCAGGGCGATACTATCACTGTGGTGGATCTTGAGGATGCTCACCGGTATATCAAAGGAGAGGGAAGCATCGTGGGTGTGTGCTATGCGGGCTCGCCAACGGTTTCGCATGAGCAAATGCTGGGCGATGCTTTAATGGAGTCCTACGACATAATGGCCAAGTACATCAACCGGAAGCCGGAGCTGTTGTTTCCCATTGAGATTGGAGGCGGGAACGGATTGTGTACGTTCCAGATCTCTGCGTCATCGCGACTAAATTTGCCGGTTGTCGACTGCGACACAATGGGCAGGGCTTACCCCACGCACTGGCAAACGACGCCGGTCGTGTATACCCCTGAAGGCGAGTGTTTCTATGCGCCAATGGTGTTTGCAAACGGAAACGGCAACTCTGTGATTTTGGCAAGCTCGAAGTCGGACTTTCTGCTGGAGAAAACCATGCGTGCGTCGTTGGCTGAGCTTGGGTCTGAAGTGGGGGTGGTGAACCCGCCAATGAGCCTGAAGGACGTGGAAGAGAAGAACATTCATGGCTCGATCTCGCTGGCGTGGAGAATTGGCCGTGCTGTAAAGATTGCACGCCAAAAAGCAGAGATCGACAAGCTGCCTCAGCGGATCCTCGAGTCGGTCAACAACACGGGAAAGCTGCTATTTTCGGGCAAGATAGTCGACGTGGAGCGGAAACTCTTCAAAGGCCATGCGTGGGGGGAAGTCGTTATCGAAGAGGTTGACGGTGCGAAACGCAAGATGACCATTCCGTTCAAAAACGAAAACATCTACTGCAAGACTACCGACGCAGACGGTACCAATGAGGAGATCGTCTGTTCCGTGCCAGACCTTATTGCCGTCGTCGACGCTGCTACTGGCGAGGCTGTCGGCACCAGCGACTATCGCTACGGACTGCTAGTTTTCGTCCTTGGTATTGCTCCTAGCAACAAGTGGACTGACACAGAACGAGGTGTCCGCATTGGCGGACCAGCAGGTTTTGATCTAGACTTTGAGTACAAGCCGATCTCGACATATAGCAAGCCTATGTCGGTTATTCAGGAATATGCCTATTAGATTACGTGTATGTTGCATTTAATCTCATAGCTAGATAGTCTCCAGAAGTAATTGGCGAGTATTTCTTCGGGTTCTCCTCGGAAAACGTACCTGGAAGCGCGTCCACTACCTCATCTCTGTCTGCGGACACAAAGTAGGGGATGGAGTACCTAACTCTCGTCATTCCTGTGCCCTGGTCGAGAGGTGGGGCTGTCACACGGTGTAGAGTAGACTTGAGCTTGTCGTTTGACCATCTCATAAGGAAATCGCCGGTGTTGATCACCAACGAGCCAGGGACATACGGGGCTGGAAGGAAATGGCCTTTGTTGTGTGGCGACTCTACCTGAAGTCCGCCGCACGAGTCCTGCAACAGCATTGTGAACGTGCCAAAGTCCGTATGTGCTGCTATGCGCTCTGCCTTGCCGGAATTCAGGTCCTCCACTGGCGTGGGTGGATAGTGGAGTAGTCTGAGCTGGTTGTTGGACCGTGTGTGGTACGAGGTCAGAAACTCCTCGTCGAGGCCCATGCCCAAGGCAATGGCACGCAGGATTTTCTTCGACAGCACGGTGCACAATTTGAAGTAGTAGAGGCAGTACTCCTTGAAAGCCGGGATGTCTGACTCATCTGGCCAGAAATTCTCCAGCTCCTTGGTCTCCTCGTTTCCAAGATCAAACGACTCCTTCACGTCCGGAATCTTGCGCAGCTGCTCGATCTGGGTCCGGTCAAAAACCATCTGGACAACTTTTTCTCTCCCCACGTGAGACCACCCACGGTGGTGTGCGCCGTCTCTTGGGTGTTCGCACTTGAGTTTCTGCTCCTCGGAAAGCTCGAAAAAAGCCTTGCTCCACTCAAACATGCGCTCCTGGTCGGCTAACGAAATGCCGTGGTTCACAATGTAGAGAAAGCCGACCTCCGACATGGCCTTGACCACCTCTTCGCCGACCCTGCGACGCTCTTCAAAAGTGCCCTCATGGAAGGCGCTGAAATCGATAATAGGCACGCTGGATTCCATTGTGGAGCACATGGGAGATGGAAGGTGTATATATTCAGACCTAGATATCTATCCTCCACCAAGTGAATCTGCAAGACGCCATCTCCACCCTGGGCGGCGGTGCGGCATTTTTTTTACCTTATCTTGGTGGAGTCCCGATTACACAGCTTCGCCTTATGGCTTTTTCCCCGGACACTCCAGGTCTCTGTAGTACCAATACCCAACTAGTGGGCCAAAGTCGGAGTACCTTTTCTGAAAGCCGAGGTCAGAAATTGCGGAAAAGTCCTCCGGCGACAGTTCCACAGACTGGCCCCCCAGGTTTTCGTCGATCCGCGTGGGGGTGACGCTCTTGGGGATCACAGACGTGCCTCTCTGCACCGCCCACGCAACCAAAACCTGTGCCGGAGTCTTTGCCAGCTTTTCAGCGACGGCGACCACCGTTGGATGTTCGAGAATTTTAGGTTCCTCAGCCACTTCGTACGTCGAGTTCTGGTTACCAAACGCCGAGTAAGCTGTCACGTGAATATCGTTCTCCTTGTGGAACTCCAAAAACTTGTCCTGTTTGAGGTACGGGTGCATTTCCATCTGGTGGACCTGAGGCTTGATTGTGCAGCTTTCCAGCAGCCGTTTGGTCTCGCTCAAGCAGAAATTTGAGATACCAATTGCCCGAACCTTGCCCGTGTCAAGAAGCTTCTCCATGGCTTTCCAAGTGGCCACATAGTCGATGTCAACGGGATTAGACGCAAATGACTCCATAAATGCGGCCTTGTCGCATGCCAGCGGATAGTGCATCAGGTAGAGGTCGACGTAGTCCAATTGCAGTTTCTTCAAACTCTCCTCCAACGCCGGGAGCACGTCCTCTGGCGCGTGGTGGGAGTTCCACAGTTTGGTGGTCACAAAGATATCTTGTCTTGGAACACCGCTTTTACTGATACCCTCTCCAACCTCAGCCTCGTTTCCGTAGATGGCAGCGGTGTCGATGTGTTTGTATCCGTTTTTCAGCGCGTGCTCGACGGCAAGGGCAACCTCGTTGGGCTTGGATTGCCATGTTCCGAGGCCGATTAGCGGCATCACAACGCCGTTGTTGAGAATGGTGGTTGGTGTGCTCATGGTTGGCGTAATAAGGAAGGCTGGACCTTTTTATGGCCACCGTGCCCACATAGGATGCAGAACACGCGCTCTCCACCAAGATAAGAAATTAGACAATAGAGTTTCGATCCTGAAAAAAAGGGTGTGAAAATAAAAGATTTGTCAAATACTTTATTGGATTTTACTAATTATGACGAAAATTAATATTAACAATTAATTAATTCTTAAAATTTCAGTAAAAAATTCATAGGTGAATACTTGCAGCCTCGCCAACCTGACTTTCACATGTCGCTCGCCATTTTACACCCTCTGCTGCTTCTGCACATAGCCGAACACCAGACTCGCGTCAACGGCCCGGTCGCTGGCGGCATTCTCGGAGTATACGATTCGGAATCGCAGACGTACGCCTTGTTCCTCGGATTCGAAATCGACACCACCGACGGGCTTCAAGACCGCCTGGCCCTCTTCTACGAGGTGTATCCGCACTTAGAGCTGCTAGGGTCATACCAGACGGCGGACCACGACACAATAGAGCTCCCGACAAGAATAGCGCCAGTGTCACTGCGTGTGAACGGCACGCCCAGCGCATTTGTCGAAGGAAAGTCGATCAAAATCGAGATCAAGCCGACCGCGTTCGAAGAAATTGGTCTCAGCACAATCGCCGCTGCAGACACGTCGCAGAAGTCGGCGACGCAGCTGGCCAACGACGCTAAAACAGGCCTCCACACGTTCCACACCCGCATCGCCAACATCCAAACATTTCTGCGCACGCTCGCCTCTCGCAGACCCACCCCCGATGAGTACAACAAGCTGCGCCAGATCAATGAACTGAACACACAGCTGGCCCTGCTACAGAGCGAACCCGACTCCTCCCCCAGACTCATTGACCTGACGCTGCTCTTCCACGCCATCAAGAGGCTCGACGTCTAGCCCGCAGTGGCTTGGTCCGCATGTATAGACCGCGACTCCGATCGCTCTGTATTACGTAATCACACCTCACGCGACAAGTTTCTCTTCCCCGGTGATTTTTTCGTCCTTGGCACTCTATGTTGAAACGAAAGAGGTTTCTGGTGGTGATCCTGGTGTTTTTGCTGGCATTCTGGTTTTGCATTCCACAGCTCGAGCCTGTTGAGCAGCCGCGCGTGCCCGCCACGTTCTACACGTACGTCCCGAACATCGATGTGGCGCAGTCGCTGCTGCGGACAGTCCACTCTGTGGAGTCCTCTTTCAACAGGAAATACAAGTATGACTGGGTGTTTGCTTACTATGCTGACCACGAGATGTCGCCAGAACTGCGAGCGCGGCTGCAGAAGCTTTGTTCGGGACAGGCATACTTTGAGCAGATATCGTCGCCGCATTACGACGTGCCCAAGTCGATCGAGGAAGAAAAGTTGCACAAGGCTCTCAGACAGTCTGCCTCGGCTTCGCCCTGCTCCAGGTTTCTTCAGTACAAGCTGAAAAATCGTTTTCAGACGTACGGATTCCAGTTTCTACCAATAATGCGCAACTACAGATACTACTGCAACGTTGAGGTCGGGTCCCAACTTGCGTGCGACTTGAAGGAGGATTTTTTCCGGCACATGCACCTACACCAGCTGGTGTACGGGTTCGCGAGCGCGCCGGTCGAGTCCAAGACGCTCACCAAGTCGCTGGTGCCTGCGTTCGAGGAGTTTCTCGGGCTTTTGCCCTACAACGAGACAGACGTGCTGCCGTTTGTCTACGAAAACCAGTACACGCAGTGTAATTTCGATTCCAACTTCGAAGTGGTGGACCTCGAGTTCTTCCGCTCGCGGGACTACGAGCGGTTCTTCCACTATTTGGACAACACCAATGGGTTTTTTCTCGAGCGCTGGACCGACTACAACGTGAAGACGCTGGCCGTGGCGCTGTTTGTGCCTGCGTCCAAGATCTTTTGGCTGCCCAACATCGGCCTTTCTGGCCTGCTCAACCGCAACACGTGCCCGCTCGACAAGAACGTGAGAGTCCGCAACCGCTGCGCCTGTGATCCGGCTAAGGACTTTGCGTTCTCATCGCAGAGCGGTCTGCGTCGCCTGTTCCACGTGCTCAACTGGGACTTGCCCGAGTCTGTGCCGCCAACAACTAAGAACGAGCTCACTCCAAAATTCCGCATGCCTGTCAACAAGCTTGAGGCGTACCCATGGACGTTCGAGTACATGAAAACTGATCGATGGTTCCGGGAACAGTTCATGGGGAAACTAAAGCGTAAAACAGACACCACATCATGACGTAGCTGGCAAGATAGCGGCCTGGCTCGCTGAGAAACACTTCCTGGATCGGGTTCTCAAAGAACTGTCCAGCGTCCCGTTTTTTTCCACCCACAAACACTAAATAGAACAGCACACTTGTTAATAGATTCGTCGCAAGGAAAAATGCCAGCCCGTAGACCGATTGGAGCCGCAGAATGCCGCAGCAGACGCCAAACGCCAGTGACGTGATATCCTTCACTTTGGCGACCACTTTCCTGTTGTATGCAACGTTGGGTTCGTATTTGAGCATTATTTTTCAGTGTAAGGATTTTCGGAGGCTAAAAAAATTACTTTGCACGTTTAATGTCCAACATCAAATCCGAGGGCAGTACTAGGTACGAGTATTTCCCGCTGCGTGCGTGCACCGAGAAGGACGTGGAGGATACACATTACCATATTCTGAAGTTCCACTCGGTGAAGAAAGTGAACCCACAGAAGGACTTTGAGGAGCCCGCAAGACTGCACAGGAAAGATCCCAAGAACCTGCAGTTCCAGCTGTCCTTGAAGGAGCTGGAGCAAAGGCGGATTGAGGAGCGCAAAAATGAGCTGCTCAAGGAGCAGAAAAAGCGGGAATTACTTGCGCAGCAGGGTATCAAGACGGAAGAACTGCCAACGGTGATTTTGGACGACGACGTCGACTGGTCGAAACTGCCAGAGGCGGAGCGTCGGTGGCGGGAGGAGGAGCGTCAGCGTCGCGAGGAGGAGGCCGCTAGAGAGGCCAAGCGAGAATTGGAGATGTCTGTGGTGGCGCCGGACGGGGGAGCTCGTCAAAGCAGACGGCCTTTTTTCAAACGCAAGACAAGACAGGTCAAGGTGTTTGACGACAACAAGAGAAAGCTGCGGTACGAGGAGTATTATCCGTGGGTTCTGGAGGACTACGACGCCAAACAAGCGTGGATCGGAAATTATGAGGCTGGAAACACAGATAATTATTGTCTGTTGATGCTAGACAATCAAAACAAGTGTTTCAAGATGATTCCTGTTGAAAAGTTCTACAAATTCACGCCGCGAAACAAGTACGCTACGCTGACGTTGGAGGAGGCTGAAGCCAAGATGAAAGAAAACAGCCAGACTTCCAGGTGGATTATGAGAAAGATGCAGGACGAGGTCGAAAGGGGAGAGCGGGTCGATTTCCGGTACAGAAAAATGAGAGCCACTTCACAGCGGGCTGAGGACGTGAAACGGTCGGATGACGAAACCCTGGATTTTGATGACGAGTTCCAGGACGACGAGGAAGCTCCGATTCTTGAAGGTAATGAGGAGGAAAGCAAGCTTGTGGAGAAAAAAATCAAGAGTGAACAGCTTCGTGCTAACAACCTGATTGAAAAAGACGAGGGCGACGATTTGGACGATTTGTTTGAGACGCGAAAGATCGACAAGGAAGGCAAAAAGCTGAGAAGAGCTCTGGCAAAGAACGCCATGAACGAAGTGTACGATACAGACGACGAGGAAGACCCGTATCTTTCAGAGAGCGAGATGGAGGAAGTTGAAACGCAGACGTCTACAGACGCAAAGGTCAAACAGGAGGAAACAGGAGAATTACCTCCAATTTCTATCCGCAGAACAACACCACAGATCAAAGTCAAGTCTCATCGCAACGGATTTGTGGTTTTGAAGGCCAGTAAGGAGGTTTTGAGCGAGTTCCCGGCAGGCGAGTGGAACCCTAAAACAGCCATCAAGCGTTCCATGTCGCCTGAGAGCGGTTCCCAGAAAAAGATCAGGTTCAAGCTTGAAGGCGATTCGGGACCTATCACCAAGGCAGATGTGGATGCACTAGTTGCCAACGGTCCGATACCGCTACAGACACTTGTCAGACAGCTGAAGCACAAGGTTAGCCTGGATCCAAACTATAAGGACGAATTGAAGAGAATTTTGAGAGAAAACTTCATTGTCAAGGATAAGATGGTGATGAAGCGAGGATAAACCAAAAATAATATAATAATAATATGCATGTAATGTCAAAAAAATATTCGGAAAAAAAAAATATAAAATTTCAACCTGTGCCGGCGATCATGGTTTCCGAGCTCGAAGAAGTAAGTTGGTCAGGACCTGCGAACTAACCCCAGCTTGTGGAATTTTTACATGCTCCACAGTACAAAATCAGGAAGATAGCACTGGAAAACTTGGTACAATTCTCTCCCTCCGGACGGAACCCAGCACTTTTCAAGCACAACAATTGCGAGCCTGTTAAGGATCTCAAGAGTCTATGCAAGGAGAAGGATCCCGTAATAGTGAGGAATGCTCTCACTATTCTGGCTAATCTCTGCGACGACCTCGAGTTCCGCAAATTGATTGTCCAGGATGATGATTTTGTCAAATATATAATTCAACAACTAGTCAATTTGAAGAACACAAACGCAGATCTCATGTGCATACTTCTTGCCAATCTTGCCAAGAGTGATGAGATTCTTAAAGTTTTTGATTTGCAGGTGGATCTCGGTCAAACAGATAGAGAAGTCTTCAAGAGCAACCACTGTATGGACTGCTTGATGGACCTGTTTGTCAAGGGAGCGGATCGCAAGCTCAACAAATACGCCACCTACGACTACCTCTCATACTTCTTTGCGGATATCTCCCGCTTTCCTCGGGGGCGAGAATACTTTGTTACCGAGCAGGAGTACGACCATGTGGTTCCTATTGCCAAACTGTTGGTATTCACAGAAAAATACGATTCCAAGACGAGGAGGGAAGGTGCCGTCTACACGATTAAAAATTCGCTTTTCGACACCAACCGTCACATGGAGCTGCTGGAAGACGAGAGAATTAATATTTTGCCCTACATCATTGGTCCATTTGCTTTTGCCGAGAATAAAGGTCTGAAAGACGACGAAATATTCGGTCTGCCTGAAGAGTTGCAGCTTCTCGGTCCAGAAAAGAAAACCGAGCCTCTGAAGGAGCTCCTGGTGGCGCATTTGGAGAGTGTCTTGCTGCTCTGTGTTACAAAGGAGGGCAGAGAGTATCTGAGAAAAAAGAGCGTGTATCCGCTCATCAGAGAGCTACACAAGGTTGCCGAAGACGAGAAGGTGGAGGAGCTTTGTGACAAAGTTGTCCAGATGTTGATGCGGGACGAGCCGGCGGAGGACCAGGCTGCTAAGGACGAGGAGGAGGGATCGGATGATGAAAAGATTACGGAGATAATTTAATGGTGTAATACAACTAACGGTCTTGGAGCCGCTAATGATCTTGAGACGCTTTGCGTTCTGAGTCAGTAATCGGGGTAATTGGATGTTGACTAATTTAATTGTTTCATTCAGTTTATATGACCGCGTTCTATCTAGCTGTACACCCCGCGACGCCTACTCGTCGTCTTCATCTTCATCGTCACCAGCTTGCAATTGGAGCTTGACGTCCTTCCACAGCTTGCCCTTGTTTCTGTTTTCGTACCACTTGGTCACAGCAGCATCAAAGTACGCCTGAAACACAAATGTACCTGCAAACACGGTTCCAACGAATGCTGCATTTCTCTTGAAGAAGGTGTTGAAGATGGCCGAATACATGTTGAGAAAGTTGAGAAAGTAATAAATAATTCAAAAAAATTTTATTGGCCAAACAACTATACACTGCCTTGAAAAACTTTATAGCAGCTCGTAGTAGCCCTGGCGCATTAGCAGATCGGTCAGAAATTCTTCAGGGTCCATCGCCTCTGTGTCGTCGTCCCCGTCTTCGCTCATCTCCTCGTCATCGTCCGACGCCTGTGGCGGATCGCGAGCAGGAATTCCAAATTGGAACGGCGCCGCTCTTCTCCGACGCATAATAGTCGAGTGGAGGTCTCGGTAAATGGTCGAGATCAGGAACTGGTTGAGCCAGATTTTGTTGATATAATTATACCGAGGCAAATGTAATGTTCCGGACTCCCCTGCACCCAGCAGACCGCCTGCAGGCTCACCGTGTTTGTTGAAGTATGGCGAGCCAACACTGACAGACGCGCCGTTGGGAATCTGGATGTCCACGAAAAAGTTGCTTTTCGTAGCTGTGAGCTCAAATTCCAACTTGTTATTGAACGGCGAGAAAAACAGCGAGTAACTTGCATCGTTAAGCTTGCAGCTAGTCAAATGCTGGACTTTTTTCTTCACCAGTGTCCCGCAGAACAGACAGAGGAACTTTCTCTCTGAGGCCTTTTCCTTGCTGATCAGATCGTGCTTGAGGAAATCTGTAAGCTTTTCCGGAAGATCGCATAAATGAACCTTTCCAGGGAAGTCCAAAGCCAGCGCGTTGGGAGAGCTCAGGTAGTGCGACATCAATGTCGCCATTTGCACTGAAACAGAGTACTCAAGACTTTTTGGGTCCTTGAGATTTTGGAATAGCTCGTTAAACGTAAGAAAGTGTCCACCACTGAGCTTGAAAGTGTGTTTAACAAGTTCCAACTGACGGTAGTAGCGATTAAAACAGTTGACCATGATAGAATGAATTTTATTCACTAGCTCGTCCTCGTAATATGTTGGTCCAATCTCGCTAATGAATTTTCTAAACAAGTTAGCGGCACATTTCTTCGCAAGAATGACAAACATATCCTTAATCGACTCGTCCACTGGTTTCGTTTCTTCCAAAATACTATCAATTTTCAGGTTATTTGGGTTCAAACTGAACCGAGAAATTAATGAGAAAAAGCTCTTGACTATCCACTTGGTCATTCCAACTCTCATCAAAATATCACAAGATTCGTTTCCTTCCAAGTACAGAATCATCATCTCGGTGGTGAATCCGAAATTATTGGTTTTTAGCAACGTATTGTACTCGGCTGACCTTTTTTGTTCGCTTGCCGGGTCCGGAGGTAGATAATTGAGAAGGACGCGAAACTGGATCAGAGATTGTAGCAGAGTGGTGTTCATTGAGCTCAAATCGTCCTTCTGGTCGTCAAAGTCAAACCTCGAAGCAATCTCGTACATTTCTAAAGTGTTTCCCAAAAGAATAGGCAGCGAGAACTTCATCGAAAGTAAATGAGACGACGTTTTGGCCACCTTCCTCATGATCTTGTTTTCTTTCATCAAGGTCCTCAGTTGCTTCATTATTGTCTTATAAGCAGGAGTTTCAGAGTGAGACAACACACGGAACATCTTCTTATCAAACACATAACTGCTGAGCTCAGAACAATTATCTCCATGGTTTTCGTGATAGATATTCTGCAAGCTGCGTGACTTGAGTTCTGAGGCGATTTCAAGCTCAAAATCAGGAAATGGAGACGTGGGAATGAACGAATTGCAGTACGATTGACATAAAGGGCACGTATACTGTGAGACGTCAAATCTGTTCTCCTTCAGGTAGTTGTGGAAACAGCTGAAATGCATCCCATGCAAACATCCTGTGATGACATACTTTGACCGCGTACACTTTGTGCCAAAACAGGAAATATCGTTCACTAGATCGTTCCACTTACGCTTGCGAGTCTTGGATTCGGCTTGCGGGAAACCAGGGATCATAAATGATGGCGCGTCCATATCCGAAATTGGGATGTTCCAGAAAATAGATGAATGCGAAATAAGGGTGGGCATACCAAAGAGCTCATTGTAGTTTTCTGGGTTTCGGCAGTAAATACAACTCCGAAGCTCAGTTTCAGTGTTGTCAGTATCCATCTCATTGGAGGCAGGCGACTCCTCGAAGAATTCCTTGTTTTGCTCCACAAAGGCAGCTTGCTGTTTGCTCATCTTTTTCATGATCTTTTGCTGTCTTTTCAATGCCAGCCTTTTGGCACGCTCCTTCTTAGTTTCCAAAACTATGCCATTAGCAGTCTTCTTGAACTCATCAATGTGGGCTTGTCCGAAACAGTCAACTAATGACTGCAGCACAGTTTCATCTTTCATCAATAGCAGATCCAAGATATGCGAGGCCTTCTTTGCAACAATTTTCGAAATGTCCTCTTTCTGAATGATGGTGAGTAGTAAGTTGCAAACAGGTATGTCAATGAAACTTTGAAGACCATGGTTCTCACCCGTATGGTATAGCCCATCATCAATGATGATGGCATGAACCAGGTGAAGCAACGAGGGAACGTAATAGTCATTGTCCGAGGAAATTGCAAAAGATAACGCTTTATAGAGGAACTTCACAAAAATAGGTGTTCTGAGGACTAAACCAATCCGAGAAAATCCTGCCAAGTCACCATCTTTGAGCTTGTAAATCTGCGGCACGATGATGACGTCTTCGACCTTTTTTTTCTTCAACTTGGCAAGACTTTTCAACAAAGACATCTCCAGATCATCTTGGGAATTGCTACGGTTGAAAAAGCTCATGTGGTCCAGTTCCTGATAAACTTCAGGTTTCAAAATGTAATGTCCATAATCGCTGATACCTGTTGGAGGCACAAATTCACCAACCTCGTTCAATGCACGGTCAAAATATGAGGGATTGTCTACCAATCGTTTCAATTCCGTATACTGAACGGGATTCAAACTCAGCCTATAGCAGATAGAATATTTGGTCTTCAAATACTCAATATCTTCTTGACTGATGCTTTTATCAAAGAAGACACGATATGTGAGCATCCGATACAAGAAATTAATCATCTCTCCTATGATGGCGTAGATTTTCTCCTCGTAGATGGTGTTGTCAAATTGTAAGTCGCCAATAACGCAGTTCAACAGCCCATATCTGTCGAAGATGTTGAGAAGCGAGCGCTTCAGTGAAGGTTCTTTCAAAACACTCAGCTGGTTTAAATACAAGTCACCTTCTGGGTTGAAAATGTATCTGTACGACAATTCCTGAAAAACAGCCTCTTGTCCATTTCTGACCCAAAAGCCAGACAAAATCTGAGCCGAAAGCACCTGGCTGCGAAGCACCTGGTCTGCAATGGCAAAAAGATTGATGTGATCAACATTTCTATCAGTAACAAGTAGAGACCCTGCCAAATGGATTTGCGAGCTTTCTAGCTCCAACATGTGGGGCTCGAAGAACTTATAATTGCGGCAAATTTCAGCGAGAAGAGAATGAATGGGAAGGATAAATGACGTCTTCTCTCTGGCCACATCATACTTGATGATGTCCAAATCATTGTCATAAACACAGGTACAATTCAGGTATAAGCCTATGACTCCAATTGCGTTTTCGACAATTTCCGACCTATGGTCAACACCAGCAATAACTTTTCCAACGTGTTTGGTGAGATTGTAGACTTGATGGGCACGGATGAAATAGAGTTTGCTCTCCTCGCTCTCATGCTCGACATGAACATCGGTTTTGCGTTTCAGTGACCAGGATTGAGTGAAAATCTTGAGGATAAGAAGGATGTAACATAAAGTGTCGACATTCAAAATCTCCTCTTCTCCAGGCTTAATATAGTTCGCAAGGGTTTCTAATCCTCTAAGAGACGCAGATTCTGCATTCAGAAGTCTTTGTATCTTCCAATCATGGACGTTCTGCTGTGGAGCATACACACCTGTTTCTGGATTCACATTTCTCTTGAAAAGCTGGAGAGCGCTCTGAAATATTCTGTCTAATTTCCCAGTTTTCAGCAAATGGGTTCCAATATTCGGATCCAGATATATTTGCAGGCGGAAATGGTCCAGCAGCGATAAGTTCCATTCGCGGTCATACATCGCCTGTGTCAATTCAAGAGCCGGCAAAATCTCCACTATTTGGTCTGCGAGTGTCTGTCTGTATTTGTAGGATGTAGTTAAGGTGGGCATCAGTAAACTGCGTAAGACTTTACGCAGTTTCTTCCAAAGTCTCATTTCAAGAAAAAAGAAGAGCTGTATTCTTGTTGTCGATGCAGCAAGGGGCTCCCCTGGATTCAATGCTTCCTGAGTACAATTTATCCCATTGGAGCGCAGTAACGAAATAGTGGTGTCTTTTCTCAATCGACTTCCGGGTATATTTGGTATTTTGAAGTCGGGGAGAAGATTGCCAAAGATTGATTTCCGTTCAAAATCATACAAATTCTCTGGAATGGTCTGCCTTTCATGAACGCTATGATACTGGCTGAACATGTTTGTGGCAATTGCGGTCTTTATCGTTTCGGCAATCTTAGAGTTTGGATGTTCGGTCATTGTGGACAGCCATTTGATAATTATCTCACACAAAAAATCTCTACAAACGTCTCTTGAAGACACAATGGTGGCCGTCAATCCATGTGTCTGGACTTTGTAGAATTCGTCAAGCAGAATATCCAGATGCGTGCTCACAGATATCGTGCACTTGCCCACCCTGTCTATTTCTTGTGTCAGTAGCTGTTTCTTATCTGTGCCAATACTCGGCAGCGCAAGTGCAATGCTTTGCTGTGAAGTAGCCCAGTCGTGGAATTCGTCATTCCAAACAACCAAGCAGAAAGCCTCCGAATTGACGTCATCGACCCCGTATTTTTCAAAAGAGAGTTTTGCTGCGTCGGAATGTTGCTTGAACATGTTTGGATCGTGTTTCGAATACAGGTAACTGCGAGTACCTGGCACGATCTGCGTGTTTAGCGACTGCACATCGATGAAATAGTCCAGGATCGTCTGTACCACCTCGTAGATATTATGCACCAGATCGTCGGGCAAATCTTCCGGCTCCGGTTCCATAGTGCTGT